CACACAATAGACCACACACACACACACACGCGCACACACACACACACCCTGATAAGATACTGCGAACTCTCGTGATATCAGATGAATCTACAAACACTGGCTACACTGGTATGCCAACGAAAACTTGAGCAGCTATGTGCGCTTGTTGTATAGTAAGTAGTACATCATCTGCGGCAGTATGTGAGTGGGTGGGTACCTATATATGGATCGGCACAAGAAGGACTTCGAATATGTAAGATTTGGCTGATTGAAATTGTATTCTATTTACAGACTCTTTCATCCCATTTCTCGCGTAGTTCATGAATTACCTACCAGAGGCGGTGAGCCGACTGGTACAGAATACATATCGAAATTAGATGGATTTGATTGGTTGATTTTGTATTCTATTTTTAGACTCACTCATACCTCCACTCGTGCAGATCATGAAATACCTACCAGAGGCGGTGGATCGATTGGTACAAAACGAACAGAAATATCGCGACGAAGTAGAAGCCAACGTTCAAGGAATCGACCACCAGGCACGAATGGCCGAGTTGGACAATGAAAGATGGTTGCTAAGCAACGCACTCCACTACTTGTTCAAGCTCGTGCGCGACGATGTGATGGGACTGTATCCGGTGCTCGTAGACGCACATGTCCTCAGCACACAAGATGTGAGTCACCTGGTGTCATGGTGTCATAGTATCGTGGTGTCATGATGTCATGGTGTCATGATGTCATGGTGTCATGGTGTCATGGTGTCATGGTGTCATGGTGTCATGATGTCATTGGGGCAGCTGTCGATGTGTCTGATGCGTGTCAAGGGTTGTGTATACAATGTTGGCTTGGCAGGTGTGGAGAGTTCCTTGGGCATTTGTTCGTGTCGTGATTGTTCGTATAGCGATACATGTCGCGGCTTAGTATGGTGTCGTATTCGGCTGTGCTGTGCTGTTTCTATATGTGTTATCAGAAGATTTTATCAGAAGACGGGTCTCCTACAGTGTTTGCGTATGGTATGAGTATGGTATTTCCATATGTGTTATCAGTACATGCATTTCATGCATAAGATATACATACATACATACATACATACATACATACATACATCCATCCATCCATCCATCCATACATCCATATATACATACATAGATATATAGATACATAGATACATAGATACATAGATATATAGCTACCATGTGTATGCATGCATGCATTTATGTATGTATGTATGTCCCCTTTCTTCTCCCATGAACACATGTTCTTATATGTGTACATTGTCTCCATATCGACTGCAGGTGCTGATATATCTCTTCCGACTGGTCCTGGAGACAGATGTGCATCTGTAAGTGTCTTTTGTACTCACACCATCCCGCCTCAACTAGCAACACAACCGATGCAAGCTCCCACACAGCACCACTGAACACAGAACATGCTGTGTTTGTGTGATGCTATGCCATGCATGCGTGTGGTATTGTGCTATGTTAGTCTCCTCATGGGGTTGTCTTGCTGTATTTGTACTGTGGTGTGTGCTGTGCGTGAGTGTGCTATAGTGGTGAATGGTTTCTGTGGTTGGGCCTTGCACTGTGTTTGAAGCTGATCCCGCCTTGTTGTCGGAATCCACGACGCTTGTCACATTGTCCTATTCAGAGTTTGATAATAGGACATATAATTCGTTCGCACGTCACTCAATCCGATTTGTTGTCCGATAATACGCCAAGTAGGTGCTATGTCGTATCCAATTTTAGGGCATGAACTTGTCCCGCTAGGTTTCTTTTTACCATGCAAGCTATCCCCTACCCCCCTTTCCAGGCCCATGTTTGCAGGCACAACCCTTCCTCGGGACTCTCCTACTCACGCACACAGCCTATACTGACCCCGGCATTAATATCTGTGTTCTATATCATCTTGTCTATTAATGTAGATACAAAGTGCTCCCCTCGTGTAAGTCGGATACAGATAAGATGGAGGCAATACAGCGCATAGAGCCAATGGTTAGGCGGATGTGCAGAGCGTCGGGCGGTGCTATAACTTTGGATACTTTGGAGGTGGGTTGAGTTACGGATATTATAGGCATATATATATATATATACATATATATACAAATACATACATACA